CCTTCCTCGTCCTGCCCGCCTTTGTCCCAGGAAGGGGCTGACCTGGGAGGTCTGAGCCGCTCCAGCTCCACGGGGCAGGTCGGGTGAGGCAATGGGGCCCGCAGACACGAAGATTCAGGGAGAAGAGGGTGGAAACAGCTCTCCCCTCCTCCTCCTGGGACATGGTGGTTTATGTTCAGAAATATGTATCTGGTTGTGGCCTTATTCTGCACGGAGCTCCTGGGGTTCCCGGCGACCTCTGATGTGACAGCAAGCCTCCCGTGGGCAGGAAGCGAAGCAAACACCTTCAGGGCAACTCCATCTGGACCACGGGCCAGGGCGTCCAGGGGCACTTGCTTTCTCGGACAGTCACGGAGCCACCTATTCCGCGGTCACATCCGTCAGAGTTCAGCTTCCCCACGGCAGGGGCTTCTCGCCGCAGGGACCCCCGTGCACCGGCTCCCCTGCCCGGCCTAATGAGGGCCAGGGCGGAGGGCCCTGCAGGAGCAGGCCTGGGGCTGGGCCAGCCGGGGCCTCTGCGGAGAGGCCGCCCGTCCAGGGGAGAACAGGCAGATCTGAGACGTGAGAGGTGCTCAGCACGTGGCCGTGACAAGCGGACACTGGCGCAGCTCACGCATCCCGGCTCCTGGGCAGCCCTGCCCGCGCATCGGGTCACCCCAGCTTCCGACAGCACCCGGCGGCCTGCGGGGTCCTTGGGCTCACGTCTCACAGACCCAGTCCCTTGCCCCCGACTCCCTGCCTCAGGGCAGGAGGACACCCCGCTGCGGGTTCCTGCTTCTCTGAGGGCTGACGGCAGCAGGTGCCTGCACGTTCTTCGGCTGGGTGAGCTCTCACACGCGTGGGGAACCGTGAGCGTCCTGGCCTGTGGGAGAGTGGCCGGTGGGGACGCACGAGGTGGGACTGGCGTCCCGGCCTCCCCCACCCCTGGAGGACCTCTTTGCTTCCTGGGAACCTGGGTGCCACAGGGCTTGGGCTGACGACTGGCCCAGCCCGGGCACCGGGGGCGGTGGGTGGTCTGAGCTCACTGTGTGCAGCAGGCGCGGCCCCCAGGCCAGAGGAGCCCTTCGCGGAGGCGGACCGCCATCATCCCAGGGTGTGCTGTCCCCGAGTTTCCGTGTGTGCCACACTCAGGTTAAGCACACGTCAGACCACGCCGCACGCAGCCGCTCCCGTTGGGGAGGGGGGAGGCCACAGAAGAAGCCAAGGCTGGCACTGCCCCTGCGCCCCTGGACCCCCACCCCACAAGCTCCTGGTCCCTCCTGCACTTTTCAGGGAGCACGCAGACCCAACCTCCCAGGCGTGGGGGTGTTTGAACCCCGGTACGCTTCACCCCGGAAAGCTCGGGGAGGCCAGGCAGCCTCGCTCAGGTGGCACTGGGTCAGGGAGGCTCGGAAAGAGGGGATCAGAAGTGAGAAAAATGCCCAGGTTCAGCCGGCGGGCCCAATGCCCCCTCGGAAAGCTGCAGGCGCAGTGCCTCCTGCAGCCCCGCCACCCCCTTCCCCGAAAGGGGACAGTGCCCCGTACGGCCGCCACTCAGGCTGGAGGGCTGATCAGTGATTCCTCCAGACCAAGGACCCGTGGTGTGCGGGAGCGGCCCCTGAGGACGCCGCGACCCCAGGATCCCATGGAGCATTCTGCCCTGGAACATGGCATCACCGAGAAATTGAAACTGCAGCCTCCACAGTTAGAAGTCTCTAGGGCTCAAGGCCAGGTCTCCTACACAATTATAACCTCGGGGGGCAGCATCGAGTACTCAGGGACAGGGTCACACACCTCGCTGAATTGACCGCAACCGCTCATATGATCTGCAGTCAAGTGCGCATGCCTTAGAAACACACGCGAGAGAGTTTGGTTCTGGAAGACCCCGGACAGTGTCTGTGGCATCACAAACAAAATAATAGTTTGAATCGGTTCCTTCCCCCATTCAGTTCCTGGCGCCAAGCTCCTAAAACCCTTGGAATCAGCTGAGCGACGGGGGCATCTTTCTTACTCATAAGGAGCATCCTGACCTCACGTGAGTTCAGGCTGACGACAGGGTGACTGATGCGCCTCCATGCGTGACCATGGAGGGCGGGGGCTGGTCCCAGAAAGACCGGCCCCGTGATCAGAGGGCTGGCTTTCTGGCCCCACACCCACCCTCCAGGAGTGGGGAGGACAGGCCTAGTAACAAAGCATTCGGGGAGCTTCCTCTGGGTTCAGAGGGCTGCAGTGTGCTGCCCTCGCTGATGTCCTGGGGGGTGGCAGCCCCAGGAGGCATGGGGCCTGGAGACCGCTGCCCCGCAGCCCGCCCATGCCTCTCTGCCATCCGCTGTCCCTGGACTGTGCCCTGTGTAATACAGAGGTCATCACAAGTGAATTGCTCTCCTAAGTCCTGTGAGTCGCCCTAGCAAAGCTTCAAACCCGACGGGAGGTTGTGGGAGCCCAGGACTTGCAATCAGCCGGGGAGGCATACAGGTGCAGGGGCCAGGCCTCGGGCCTCAGCCCGTGGGGTCTGCGTTAACCCAGAAGCTGGCGTCAGGCCCGACTTGAACGGCAGGACACTCTCAGCCCTGGGAACACTGCGTCATTAGGCGTCACCGTCGGGGGCCCCGGACCTGTGAGGCATCCCCAGCTCACCGAGCGCTGGAGCTGAAGGGTGGGAGGCCCGTGGGTGCCGGTGACACTGACACTGAGCAGAGAAGGGGAGGGGCCCCGCCTGTCCGATGGAGAGCAGGGTTTCCCGCGGTACGCAGGGGGCCAGGGCAGGACGGACGCTGGGACCCACTCGGGACATCACGCCGGGCAGACGCCACACCCGGGGACCGCAGTCGGCGGCCGCTCCTACCTCAGTGCCGCGTTAAGTGGCTCTGTTCCTTTTCTCTAAATTAGTTGTTCCTCCCAACCGTATCCTGCAGTCTAATCTGCAGGCTCTAAAACTAATTTTACTATAATAACCTTTTTTTCCGCTTCTAAATTACTCCATTATAAAAGGACATTTTTGAAAACCAGAGTCGGGGGCTCCCTCGTGGAGGGCGCTTTGAGTGCGGAGGCTCAGAGAACAGGAATCCTCACAGGGCAGCCACAGAGAGCGGGCACGTCTTTAATTAACAGCTCCTCGGTTACGCTTCTCCTGGAGTCCACGGAAAGGCCTTTGAAGTGCAAGGCACGCCGCCGTCTCTCCAGACACGGCCTTTCTCAGATCAATACGCCATGGCCTTCCTACTTTACTGCATATTTGCAAATATATTGGAGCAGGATAACTTATCACTTAAGTGCTATTTTTCTTTTGGCAGATGGTGACAATGGTGTGGAACTCTGCCCGCCAGGAGCTGCAAATTGCTTTGTGTAAAACAGCATTACCCACAGGGCATGCATTTCTCTCTGGTGGAGACCAGCGCTGGGTCAGAGGGCTGGCTCCCGGACCCAGGCTCGGGGTGTCTTACCAGGGGGATCCCGGCACCGGGGTGGATGCCACGGGCCTTGTGCCTTTGGGTTCACTGTCCTCGCTGGTCACCAGGATCGACGGCGGCTCCTGTGAATAGAGAGAGCAGGAAAGCACTTTAAAACAAATTGAAACACTCCTCTCCAATTAGAGGCAACCAAGTAAAGACTAACCAGTCTCCTGCAGACAGAAGGTGACTGATGCGCCTCCATGCGTGACCATGGAGGGCGGGGGCTGGTCCCAGAAAGACCGGCCCCGTGATCAGAGGGCTGGCTTTCTGGCCCCACGCCCACCCTCCAGGAGTGGGGAGGACAGACCTAGTAACAAAGCATTCGGGGAGCTTCCTCTGGGTTCAGAGGGCTGCAGTGTGCTGCCCTCGCTGATGTCCTGGGGGGTGGCAGCCCCAGGAGGCATGGGGCCTGGAGACCCCTGCCCCGCAGCCGGCCCATGCCTCTCTGCCATCCGCTGTCCCTGGACTGTGCCCTGTGTAATACAGAGGTCATCACAAGTGAATTGCTCTCCTAAGTCCTGTGAGTCGCCCTAGCAAAGCTTCAAACCCGACGGTAGGTTGTGGGAGCCCAGGACTTGCAATCAGCCGGGGAGGCATACAGGTGCAGGGGCCAGGCCTCGGGCCTCGGCCCGTGGGGTCTGCGTTAACCCAGGAGCTGGCGTCAGGCCCGACTTGAACGGCAGGACACTCTCAGCCCTGGGAACACTGCGTCGTTAGGCGTCACCGTCGGGGGCCCCGGACCTGTGAGGCATCCCCAGCTCACCGAGCGCTGGAGCTGAAGGGTGGGAGGCCCGTGGGTGCTGGTGACACTGACCCTGAGCAGAGAAGGGGAGGGGCCCCGCCTGTCCTGTGGAGAGCAGGGTTTCCCGTGGTACGCAGGGGGCCAGGGCAGGACGGACGCTGGGACCCACTCGGGACATCACGCCGGGCAGACGCCACACCCGGGGACCGCGGTCGGCGGTCGCTCTTACCTCGGTGCTGCGTTAAGTGGCTCTGTTCCTTTTCTCTAAATTAGTTGTTCCTCCCAACCGTATCCTGCAGTCTAATCTGCAGGCTCTAAAACTAATTTTACTATAATAACCTTTTTTTCCGCTTCTAAATTACTCCATTATAAAAGGACATTTTTGAAAACCAGAGTCGGGGGCTCCCTCGTGGAGGGCGCTTTGAGTGCGGAGGCTCAGAGAACGGGAATCCTCACAGGGCAGCCACAGAGAGCGGGCACGTCTTTAATTAACAGCTCCTCGGTTACGCTTCTCCTGGAGTCCACGGAAAGGCCTTTGAAGTGCAAGGCGTGCCGCCGTCTCTCCAGACACGGCCTTTCTCAGATCAATACGCCATGGCCTTCCTACTTTACTGCATATTTGCAAATATATTGGAGCAGGATAACTTATCACTTAAGTGCTATTTTTCTTTTGGCAGATGGTGACAATGGTGTGGAACTCTGCCCGCCAGGAGCTGCAAATTGCTTTGTGTAAAACAGCATTACCCACAGGGCATGCATTTCTCTCTGGTGGAGACCAGCGCTGGGTCAGAGGGCTGGCTCCCGGGCCGAGGCTCGGGGTGTCTTACCAGGGGGATCCCGGCACCGGGGTGGATGCCACGGGCCTTGTGCCTTTGGGTTCACTGTCCTCGCTGGTCACCAGGATCGACGGCGGCTCCTGTGAATAGAGAGAGCAGGAAAGCACTTTAAAACAAATTGAAACACTCCTCTCCAATTAGAGGCAACCAAGTAAAGACTAACCAGTCTCCTGCAGACAGACCTGCCCACAGCGGCTCTTAGGTAATGACCGGCTCAGCAGAGCCAGCGCATAGGCCTGGGGGGCTCACGTGAGACTTTAGAATTCATGGCACAACTGGCGTGTAGACGAGGGCCTCCCTGTAATTATCCCGAATTGGCTTGGCTGCCTGCTTCTGTGGAGACAGACACAGGCTGAGCAGCTGAGAGAGCGCTTCTGAATGGCCGGCGCCTGGGGCAGAACCCCCTGGACTCGTCTCTGGAAACAGGCTGACGGAGGGGCTGGAGTCACGGTGTCAGTGAGCCCAGCCTCCAGCGGCCGAAGCCCTCTGTGCAGCCAGCGAGGGCCCCAGGAGGCGGGGGAAGGGACAGGCCCGGCCCGGGCAGGCGGGGGAAGGGACAGGCCCGGCCCGGCCCGGGCAGGCGGGGGAAGGGACAAGCCCGTGTCCTTGCAGTGTCCTGTCACCCCAAGGACGCCCCCCGCCCCCCATTTCTGGAGTATCCACCTGGGGGCAGAGTTCATGGCCTATTTCACATGGTGCAGCTGACTGATACACAGTCAGGTCTGAAAAGCACCGACTGTCTTCATGTAGAAAATAAGAATGTCTGAGCACGATATCCCCTAGAAGAAAATGAAGATTTATTTCCTAAAGTTAAAAGAGAAAACAACTACAGCTAGGAAGCTAGGACACCTGACCATTGCTTATTATGGATAGAATCTGGACAGAAATAAAAGTTTTTCTGACAATAGACAATTATAACGCCAACATAAACGTGAACCCAAGATTCAGACTGACTTATCTAGATGCGCGGATATACAAGAGACACTGAATTTTGTTAAACAAGGGAAAGTGGAAAGTGAAAGTGATAGCTGCTCAGTCGTGTCCAGCTCTTTGCGACCCCGTGGACCGTAGCCTGCCAGGCTCCTCTGTCCATGGGACTCTCCAGGCAAGAACACTGGAGCGGGTAGTCATTCCCTTCTCCAGGGGGTCTACCCCATCCATGGATCGAACCCGGGCCCCACATCGCAGGCAGCTCATTTACCATCTGAGCCACCAGGGAGGCCTTTAAGCCAAAGGAAACAGAACCGAACTTCTAAGGTGGAAATGAAAAATTGCCATGAGAAGATTTTTTAAGAAGTCAGTGCTATCTCAAACCTCGAGCAGCTCTAAGAGAAAACTGAAACCACAGTGAGCACAATACATTCTAATGGCAAGGAAGCATGTCTTTCTTTCTACCGCCGGTTTTCATTATTTTAATCTCAAATTTAGAATAATATAATAAGGACCATGTTTCCTTTCTCTCGAAAAATCAGTAAGATTACAGAATCCTAGTGCATTATTCCAAATAGCAACCAGGTTCTGAGCTGAGAACGTTAAGTTTAGTTCAGTCCAGTCGCTCAGTCGTGTCCGACTCTGCCACCCCATGAACCGCAGCACACCAGGCCTCCCTGTCCATCACCAATTCCCAGAGTCCACCCAAACTCTTGTCCGTTGGGCAATTAAACTCTAGATTCATTTAGAAAAAGTTAAATGTCATCCTGAAAGCTGAGAATCTTTTTCTGCCACCATCAATGTCAGCGCTTCATGAGGCAGTGTAGGTAAGGACATGGTTAGCCAGTTGTGGGATGATCAAACACCAGGACGCCAACGCCCGCCGCCCTGTGGGACACCGCTGGTGGGCGGCCGCGCAAGGACAGGGCCATTGCACCGAAAGCCCAGACGCTTGTCCAGGGGTCCCCGAGGGCCACACTGGGACCACAGCTCATTCCCACCTCCCAGCTTCCTTTAGAACAGAGTTGTTAGCGAGGAAAGGGCTAGGTTCTGAGAGCACCGAGAGGAAAGATTCAAATACATAGTTAAAAGATCACCAAGGTCTATCTATATGGGTGAGATAAACCCCAAAGAAGTCACTTGAAGCTACAGTAAAATCGCAGGCAATGAAGTGAGACCTCCTCCTGCTCACGCCCTAGCAGCAGGGCCCTCGTCACCAGGAGTGAACAGCCAGTGTCGGCAGAGCCGGCCAGAGGATGAGCAGGGAGGCCTGGGATGCAAAGGTCAGCGGACCAGGTCCAGAGTGGCTGCTGGGAACCCCGTTCATTAAAGGTTAGACACGTGAAGTCCAGGACTTGAGGGGCGGTCTCGCACACACTTGACCATCCTGGTATCTTACCGGGGTCTCCCCAGGGCCCTTGTTTCATTGTGACAGGAAATCACATGAAATAAACGATTTGCAATTTATATGATTATTCCTAATTCATAAGTTCACGAACAATTGTTTTTTCTGGAATTTTGGGATAGTAGAAAGTCTTAGTTTCCTACGGGAAAATAAATTCAGGATAAATAATGAACATAAAAAGTGTATTCAGAAACAGTTCTGTTAAAAATACACGGGTATGTTAAGACCAGAGTTTATATTACTAATCCAATCAGGAAAACGAGGGGGAGATTTTCATTATGAAGCTAATTGAACAATGAAACCCAATGAGGGGCCTCTGTGAGTAGTAGATTTCCCCCGATAATTTTTTCAGGGAAATACGGTGGGACATGATTTGTGATAGAGAGACTAACACTTAAATTTGGCGATGCTGGGATTCTCCACCGCTAATTACCAAGGTCGTCTTCTGGTGTGGCATGCTGGCTATGATTTCTTGTTGGTGATAAAAATGGCTAATCATGGCATAAAACTCCCCTCCGCACCGAAGTAATAAAAGTGAATTAGACGCACAGAGCGCAGAGATAAAGAAAGTAGTTAAAGCAGAAGAAAGACGATCTGTTTAATAAATATGCAATTCTGGCATGGATGTTCATCTCATAGAGAGAAATCCTTCATCGGGAAGCAAGAGACTAATTTGCACTATCGTTCATGATTCACTGACACCATCTAGCCCCAGCACTAATGAGGGAGAGGATGGTGGGGACCACAGGTGAGGGTGCCCAGGGATGTTGCTGATGGGGAACGGGCAGGACAACCACAGGAACGGGGACCTAGCAGACCGAGGTAGAAAGAAGGCTGATAACAGCGTAGGGAGAGAGAATGTTCACCCAGCACGGGGGCAGACCAGAGGCCACCAGGGTGTCTGACGGATCAGACCAGAGGCCAGTAGTGGATTTGATGGATCAGAGTGGATCAGAGCATGTTATGTGCCATTTATGTCTTTCAAAGGCAGCAGTAAAAGCTGATTTCTTGGAAATGCATTTCATGGAAATGCACTCAACATGTTCTCAGTCAATCTATAAAATGCTGCTTTATAGGGAAGGACCTGAGATTCTGTGTTCAGAAAACAAGCATGCATTGGTTTTCCTGCAACAGTGAAACCAAATGCAGATCACAGCTTCGCCCAAGGGGTGTCCAACTGCACAGCCTGGCTGCCTGTGTGCACACGCCTTCTGAGACAGGGGACAGCACACGTGAGAATCCAGGGTCACCACCCAAGCCTCTCTGAGCAGAGCCTGCCAGTGGGCTCTGGACTGGATACAGACGGGAAGGCCAGGCTACTCCTGGTTGGCTCCCAGACGCCCCTCCCTTCTGCTGGGTTCTGCAGCGGTCCCCCTGGCAGTGGCCCGGTACCACAGAGGGGACTGAAAGCGTCACGGCCGAGAGTCAGGTGGGAAATGGGGGGAAGGGTGTGTGGGCCCCCAGGGCCCCCAGCTGGGGGTCGTGCGCCTCACAGCCACCAACCTTGTCCTCTCCATCCCCCGCCGGCCTCTTCCTCTCTGCGTGCAGCACCAGGGCTGGGGGGCAGGGCGCCCGGCTGCGCTCTCTGCTTTTGTCTGTGGGACCAAAACAACCATCGTTAGCATCCATCTGACACATCAGTTTGTAAAACCGAAAACGGACAAAGAGCAGCCTCAGGAATTCTAAGTGCCAGCGCGTGCAGTGTGCCCCGCAGCAGCCGTGCCAGCCTCGCTGTCTGACCACACGGTGCTGACCGAGCCTCCACCGGGGCTTCGTGTCCAGCCTGGCAACCCCATCAGCACTGACCATGGAGTGACTGACCACGCTGGGCCAGGCCGTGTGGGCCACGAGGGACGGGACTCGGGCCTCTCCGACAAGGACCAGGGGCCAGTGTGGGCGGCAGAGGCAGCAGGCTCTATCGGCGGCTATGATGGGCCACCCTGGTCCCCGATCCCGAGCAGGAATGGGGTCCACGCGGGTCACGCCCTCACTGCCAGTGTTCATCGCTCACTAACCAGGCTCTGGTTCCACAGGCAGCCTTCTCAGTGCTTTCACTGTGCAGACAGTGACTGCCTGATGGAACGTGGCAAAAGCCTGAGGCTGGATATGAAAACAGGTTGGCTTCATCGTATTCTAACATGCCGCGTAGCCTCAGACGTCTGTAGGCAGTGACGGGCGGCCCCGTTAATCACGCAGTTAGGACCAAGAATGAGGGGAAACTCCAAGCCACCCAACCACAAACCAGCCTCACAAACAGAAACATCCACCCAGGAGACCCGGGAAGGGTCGGGAAAGGGTTGCTTGACCTGGAGCTCCGTCTGTGCAACACGTCTAGGGAGGTCCCGGGGTGGCTCCTGCCCAGTAAGCCGGAGGAAGGAAGGACATAGGGGATCAATGTGTGTGTGCACGTGTGTACGTGTGTGTGCTGCATGTATGTGTCGTGTGTGTGTGTATGTGTATGTGCGTGCGTGAGCATGCTTGGGCTGGGCTCCCGCGTGGAGCCCAGCGGTGGTGACCACAGCGGGCATGATGCCAGCCCCCTTAGCAGCTGCAGAGCTGGGCCCAGGTTCTGGGGCAGCCTCTCCAGAGCCCTGCATGTGGAAGCACCTCTCTGCAGACACTCCACTAACAGCTGATCTCAGAGGTGCCTCGGGGCCCTCAGGTCAGCTCTGGACCGGGACCAAATATCCAGTCTGCACAGAGGAGCTTCGTCTGGACAAGGCAAAAGCAGGCGGGAGCCAGCCTCGAGGCCCGGCCTCCGTCAGTCACAGGCAGGGACGGATGGACAGAGGCGGCCCTGGGCACAGCCAGGCCCCTTGTCAGCGATGTCGATCAGAAGGGTGCCCGGGCCCGCGGGCTCTGCCCCAGGGCCAGCTGGCTGGTCCTGGGTGCTTGAGAGCCCTGAGCTCAGGCTGGGGGCAAACAGACCAAGCGTGGCCCCCGGACCTCGTGGGCCTCCTGCTGCCCTCGTGTCTCCACACCGAGGGTGTCTGGAGCCTAGACCACACACTCCATTTGCACAAGGGTGGCCAGTGCCGACCACTCGCCTCCCAGGCACGGGGAGCACCACCCAGAGGCCTGCCTTGGGCCTGGAGACACCACCTACGGGGCCATTTCATCCCCAGACTCAGGGAAGGAGCTCCCAGCTCTTAGCCGAACCATAAACCCAATCTGAGTCAACAGACCACATTTAACACCACGCTCCGCCCCGGAGGGCGGTGGGGCTTTACTTTATCACCCATCACGGCGATGAGCAGAGCTCCCGGGCAGCTTCCAGAACCTGTGAGAATAAGACCCTTTGCCAAAGGCGTCTTCTGGTCGAGATGCGAAGGGCTGTGTGGGCCAGGAGGCTGGCTCCAGATGGGATGGTCCTGACCCACCCACTTCCTGTGTCTGCGAAACAGATCATGCCACCCACAAAAGACAGAGGAGCCGATAGAGGGGGGTGATGTAGCAAGATGGTCACTAACTGGGTGACACTGAAGCTCTGCTTGAAAAATCAGAGGAAGAGACGAGAGCAGCCCAGAGAACAGACCTCCCAAGAGGGAGGGTTTCTTCATAAAGTCCCACGGCCGTGTCCCCCACGTGTCGCGCTGTGTGTGGGACCGCGTGCCTGAGTTAACACAGGCCTCATCAGTGCCCACGGCCGTGTCCCCCACGTGTCACGCTGTGTGTGGGACCGCGTGCCTGAGTTAACACAGGCCTCATCAGTGCCCACGGCCGTGTCCCCCACGTGTCACGCTGTGTGTGGGACCGCGTGCCTGAGTTAACACAGGCCTCATCAGTGCCCACGGCCGTGTCCCCCACGTGTCACGCTGTGTGTGGGACCGCGTGCCTGAGTTAACACAGGCCTCATCAGTGCCCACGGCCGTGTCCCCCACGTGTCACGCTGTGTGTGGGACCGCGTGCCTGAGTTAACACAGGCCTCATCAGTGCCCACGGCCGTGTCCCCCACGTGTCACGCTGTGTGTGGGACCGCGTGCCTGAGTTAACACAGGCCTCATCAGTGCCCACGGCCGTGTCCCCCACGTGTCACGCTGTGTGTGGGACCGCGTGCCTGAGTTAACACAGGCCTCATCAGTGCCCACGGCCGTGTCCCCCACGTGTCACGCTGTGTGTGGGACCGCGTGCCTGAGTTAACACAGGCCTCATCAGTGCCCACGGCCGTGTCCCCCACGTGTCACGCTGTGTGTGGGACCGCGTGCCTGAGTTAACACAGGCCTCATCAGTGCCCACGGCCGTGTCCCCCACGTGTCACGCTGTGTGTGGGACCGCGTGCCTGAGTTAACACAGGCCTCATCAGTGCCCACGGCCGTGTCCCCCACGTGTCACGCTGTGTGTGGGACCGCGTGCCTGAGTTAACACAGGCCTCATCAGTGCCCACGGCCGTGTCCCCCACGTGTCACGCTGTGTGTGGGACCGCGTGCCTGAGTTAACACAGGCCTCATCAGTGCCCACGGCCGTGTCCCCCACGTGTCACGCTGTGTGTGGGACCGCGTGCCTGAGTTAACACAGGCCTCATCAGTGCCCACGGCCGTGTCCCCCACGTGTCACGCTGTGTGTGGGACCGCGTGCCTGAGTTAACACAGGCCTCATCAGTGCCCACGGCCGTGTCCCCCACGTGTCACGCTGTGTGTGGGACCGCGTGCCTGAGTTAACACAGGCCTCATCAGTGCCCACGGCCGTGTCCCCCACGTGTCACGCTGTGTGTGGGACCGCGTGCCTGAGTTAACACAGGCCTCATCAGTGCCCACGGCCGTGTCCCCCACGTGTCACGCTGTGTGTGGGACCGCGTGCCTGAGTTAACACAGGCCTCATCAGTGCCCACGGCCGTGTCCCCCACGTGTCACGCTGTGTGTGGGACCGCGTGCCTGAGTTAACACAGGCCTCATCAGTGCCCACGGCCGTGTCCCCCACGTGTCACGCTGTGTGTGGGACCGCGTGCCTGAGTTAACACAGGCCTCATCAGTGCCCACGGCCGTGTCCCCCACGTGTCACGCTGTGTGTGGGACCGCGTGCCTGAGTTAACACAGGCCTCATCAGTGCCCACGGCCGTGTCCCCCACGTGTCACGCTGTGTGTGGGACCGCGTGCCTGAGTTAACACAGGCCTCATCAGTGCCCACNCTGCATGCCTGACATTGGTCACAGGACGGCTTCTTCGAGAAGATGGTCCTGATCATCACTCTAAAACCCCCTCATTACATGGCTGGGCTGGGGCCCAGAGCCCCCTGTAAAGCCTGCGTCTCCCCGTTCCTGGAAGGGCTGGTGCAACGGCTCCCCAAGAGCCACTCCAATCCCCTCTGACCTGCTTCACCCCCTCTGCGCTTCGACCTCTGCACAAACCCGATGGTGTCGCCATCAAACACCCCACAGGGAATCAAAAAGAACTAGTTTATGGAGGGAAATCAACAAGTCATAAGACCCTGACCAGCTTAGGGGTGCCCACGAAACATTTCCACGCGTGAGGGAGGCAGGGTGGTCCTATCTTCGGGGCAGTTGGTCTATTGATCCAGCCCAGCTCTGAGGTTGGAAGAGCTCTCAGACTACCTGCAGTTCGCTTTTCCTCCGGGCAGGGCTGAGCAACAAGAAGGCCTGGGCAGGTTGGGTGGAAGCCGGGAAGGAGAAAGGGCGCCTGTGTGAGAACCAGCACGAGATGCATGACACACACATTCAGTCCTTGTACAGAACCCAGCACAGCCCTGGCTGCAGGTGGGACAAGTGGGAGAAGGTGAGAAATGAGACTCCCTTCAACGTGCTGCAGGGGGACTTCCCTGGCGGTCCAGGGGTTTAGACTGTTTTCCAATGCAGGGGACTCCAGTTTGATCCCTGCCTGGGGACCTAAGATCTTACATGCCACATGGCTAGGCCCAAAGATCAGAAAAAAAGACCTTTTTAAAAAAGAATGAGATATAAATAAAAAAATGCTGTGGGAGTTGATGAGGGTGATGGCAGGGGATACACAATAGCCCTGGGAAGGTGGACGGGGTCGGTAGCTTGTCCACTCCTTCTCGTGGGCAAGACAGCTCAGCAATCGGTCAACCTCGCCTCCCTGAAGGAAGAGCCGGTGGGCTCCCGGAGCCCTCCCCTGAGCTCGGGGGTCACCAGCATGTCCCCTGTTGCTCAGCAGTCCCCTCGAAGCCACCTGTTCCCTTAGAGGACCAGAGACGTAAGGACTCAGAGGGGTCCGCCACAACCTAGTATCAGGTCTCAGGCCAAAGACGGCGGATAGATATCAGCTACGGGACAGTGACTGTAGCTGGAATTTCAGCCAAGGCTGCTTCTACTGGATAAGGCACAAGGATTCTTTTAAACGTTTAAAGACTGCTTTCTTAATTACTAAAATGAAGAAACACTGCAGACAAGTCAAAACTGTCTAACTTATCAAAAATATATGAAAGTATGTCAGCCTCTTCTAATTCAAAGGGTGATTCTGAACTTGAATCTCATTTTAATCCAAATACACTTTGTCCTTTCTTGGTCTCAATTTCCTCAAATGTGTGTGTGTGTATATGTGTGTATCTGTGTGTGTGTGTGTGTGTGAGTCACTCAGTTATCTCCGACTCTTTGCAACCCCATGGACTGTAGCCCACCAGG